TTTAACATTGAGGTTTTTTTCTCAGTTTTTACATTTTACATTTATATATTTTTTCTTTCACTAAAAACTTGATTTCTAACAACATTAATATGTTTATTTTCTTTATCCTACAATATACATTTAAAAATTTTTTAAGTGTAACACTAGTATTACTTATGATAATAAGTCTATCCAGGCATCCTTGGAATAAAAAGAAAAAATAATTCTAAGTGAAGTAAACAGTTTTGTGTAGATATTTTTGCACTTAATATATATCTCAAATAGGCAAAACAGTTTTAGACCATACCAGGCCATAGATTGGTGATGCTGGTCAGTTCTGGAAATTTCGTAGCTATTCTCACCCCAAGCAATCCCTTTGCCCGTTCTCCTTCTCCTCTCTTCTGTAATCTTCCTCTCCTCCCCTGTCGTCCATATCTCAGCTGCACCTCTTTGTCTCTGAGATGCATTCCTGATGATTTCTTCAGAGATGTCTTCTAGCTCACCAATTCTCTTTTCAGTAGGGTGTGATCTGCTTTTAACCCATCCACCATGGTCTTTATTTTAGTTAGTGTATTTTAGTTTTTAATTCTCTTGGTCATTTTTCTACAAAGTGTTTTACTCTTTGTATTTTTAATCCTTTTATTTATTTAAACACAATAAACATAGTTTCTTTGTGTGGTCTTCCTGGCGTTTGAAGTTCTTGGGAATCTTATTCTGTTGTTTCTGCTGGCTCCCATGGTGCCATGTTTTCTTATGTATTTTGTAAATTTGTTTTTTATTTTGTTTTTCTTTTCTTTTTGGAGACAGAGTCTTGCTCTGTCACCCAGGCTGGAAGTGCAGTAGCATGATCATAGCTCACTGCATGCTCAATCTCCTAAACTCAAGTGATCCTCCCACTTCTCAGCCTCCTGAGTAGCTGCAACTACATGTGCATACCACCATACCCAACTAATTTTTTAAAATTTTTGTGAAAACAGAGTCTCGTTATGTTTCCCAGGCTGATCTTGAGTTCCTTGGCCTCAAACATTCCTCCCACTTCGTCCTCCCACAGTGTTAGGATTACAGGCATGAGCCACTGCGTCTGGCCATATTTTGTAAATTTGATGCTAAGCTCCCGTCTTGAGATCTTGATAGAATTGGTTTCTTCAAAGAGGATTTGCTTTTGCTTTTGTCAGGCGCCATGGGGCAGTGTCTGTCTAAGATTACTTTAGATTCCTGTCTTGAAGTTTTTGGATAACCCGAAACTTATTCAGCATTTTTTATTTTTCAATAGGGGATTCTGCCTGGCTACTTAATCTTCCATACTACTGGAAAAGGAAGCAGTTTTGTTGCTTTACTTGCCAGTTATTCTCTCTTCTCAAACCTATCTCCATACTCCTTATTGTATATGTTTTTAAATCTGGTTCTTGTAGACTATACTACACATACAGAAAACTATAAAATAAAGATTCATAGCCCAATAACTTATTAGAAAGCAAAAATATAACCACAACCCAGAAATCTTCAAGAAGTAGAACATTGCTACCATCCTTGAACACTACATAGGGGTCTTATAGTCTGTAGTCTTTCGTGTCTGGCTTCTTTCACTCAGCATTATGTTCATGAGGTTCAGTCATGTTGTGTATAACCACAGTTCATGTATCTTCATTGCTAGGTAGTATTCCATTTATATCAAAATACTACAATTAAATTTTTGCTTCTACCTTTTTTTTTTTTTTTTTTTTTAAGAGATGGGACCTTGCTTTTGCCCAGGCTGGAGTGCAGTGGCTATTCACAGGCGTGACCATAACGCACTACAGCCCCAAACTCTGGGGCTCAAGTGATCCTCCAATCTCTGCCTCCTGAGTAGCTGGGACTACAGGCCCACACCACTGTGCCTGGCTGCCCTCCACTTTCAGTAGGCGTATGAGTTGGTTCTTTTTTTTTTTTTTTTTGAGACAGAGTCTCACTGTGTTGCCCGGGCTAGAGGGCCATGGCATCATCCTAGCTCACAGCAACCTCAAACTCCTGGGCTCAAGCGATCCTACTGCCTCAGCCTCCCGAGTAGCTGGGACTACAGGCATGCGCCACCATGCCCGGCTAATTTTTTCCATATATTTTTAGTTGTCCGATTAATTTCTTTCTATTTTTAGTAGAGACGGGGTCTCGCTCTTGATGAGTTGGTTCTTCTTTGTGGCTATCTCAGATAATGCAGCTGTGGACATTGACAATGCAAGTCTCTTGAGCCTCTACTCTGTCTCAGGTCCTGGCTTCAACCAACTTATTGGCTTACTGCTTGCTATCTTCTAGCAGAATTATTTATTGTTATTTGGGTTTTTGTTTTGTTTTGTTTTAGTCTTGTTTCTCATTTTTTTGGGGAGAATTGGCCTCCCATTACTAGAACTGAAAGTACTACCTTAAGCTTTTAAATATTTTCTTTTTGGGAGTCTAATGGCATGATAATAAGTACATTTTTTTAATTACTAAACTTTATTTTTTATTTTATTTATTTTTTTTGAGGCAGAGTCTCTGTTGCCCAGGCTAGAGTGCAGTGGTGTCATCATAGCTCGGTGCAGCCTCAAACTTCTGGGCTCAAGCGATCATCCTGCCTCAGCCTTCTCAGTAGCTAGGACTACAGATGTGTACCTCACTCAGCTAATTTTTTTTTATCTTTTATAGAGAGTCTTGCTGTTGTCCAGACTAATCTCAAACTCCTGCCCTCAAGTGATCCTCCTGAAGTTGCATTTCTTTGGTAGTTGGCTGTGATTTTCATATACTTGTTTAATAATTGTATTTCTGTCCTGTGTGAATTGTTTACTACTCTCAAAATTCCTTTTTCTTCCTTTTTCTTTTTTTTTTGGTTAATATTTTCCCGGTTATGAAATGCAATACTTGTTTGTTCATTACAAGAAATATAAATGATAGAGAAAAGTATAAACTTTGCACATTTGGAGAATAGCGATTTCAATATCAAATACCATGTTTCAGTATTTTTTAACAATTTATAGCAAATATTAAAGTAACTCCATAGAAATTTAGTATACTATAGTATTTCCTTCTCCTTCTACAAATGAACATACTGATTTTTTAAAAATATATTCAATATTGTCCATGAAATATCAGTAAAATATAGTCAAATTAACAGATTCCGTTACAATTCTATTCTTTTACTTCCTGAGTCTCATATCTGTCCTTATTTTTAGAGACCTACCTACCGACCCTCTGCTTTTTGTGTCACTCAGAAACAAACATTGATCCTTAAACACGAAAAATTCTTGTGAAATCCAAAAGACCAGGGAGTATACAGTGATTGTGTTGAGTCTTTTCAAACCAGAGTCTGGTTTTCCTACTTCTTTCCTTTCTGTTAGTACCTGGGCTCCTGGGATAGTGTTAATTTCACAGCTAAGCTAAAATGTCCGTGTAGACCCAAAATGAGGCCTAAAGCCGAGTTGAGCAGGCTGGGATTTTGTTGTAGCTGACTCTCAGTCACTTTATGTGCATCTTTAAATGGTCTTTAGATAGAACCATCTGGCCACTTTAAGCAGGAGGACAACCTGTTCACTAGACAACCTCACATGGCCAGCAGTTTACTCTTTGGCTGGTTAACTAAGACTTTTCAGTCACATGTGGTGCAACTTCAGTTGGATGAAGGCAGCAACAACTATCTAAGGACCAAAAGTAGAATATAAGCCTGGCTTACTTAGCAGGAGTGCTTTCTCTAGGTCATCAGCATGTCAGGTCAGCTCGAGCATGAGATAATATAAAGAGGTGAGCAGATTTGAGTCTGACAAGCTTCCCCACTTGCTTTGCCCCAGGGTGCAAGTATTAGTGGAGGGGCTACAGCTTGTTTCTGAAGAAGGGAAACCTTATCCTTCATTATATGTGCCACTGAATGTCACTTAACCTCCAGGAACATTGTGTTGGTGAGAGTAGAGAAGGGATTAAACTAGAAATGAATTTTGACAGTTCAGAGTGAGAGCTTCTGATTTCTGCTTTGTGGAACTCCACATCTTGCAGCATTTCAGTATGTAAAGTTCTTAATATTGTTGAAAACATAAAATGAATTGGAAAGAGAAGAACCTCTAAAATATGTTTGTTTTCTCAAGAAATTGTACCTGCTGTTTTACCTCTATATCATACAGAGGTGTAGTTATGTATCATGTACTTGAGAAAATATATAAAAATAGACAATTTTAAAGGATAAATACAGGTACAATTCCATTTCTGGCCTGTGGCTATGCACGGTATGCATGTGCAAGGAGTTGTTTGGAACTCCAGGCTTTTCCCCACAGATGGAGGGTCTTTATTGGTGGTGAATTCTCAGGTCAGCCTTCAAAGGTCTGCACAACCTACAGTGCACACTGATAAATTCTAGGACAAAGAATTGCCATCAATGACAATGATTTTAAAGGAAAATGTGCTCAGCATTCTTGTCTCTCCCTTCGCTACACTGTAGTATAGGAAGAGGATTTTGCTTTCTTTTTTTTCTGACCTCTGGCCCTGTGTTGCCTAGACTGGGTAGGCTGCAGTGATAAGGAAGAGGGGAACTTGGAGATGAGAAGCATACAGGGCCCCTGAAAGTGAAAGTGAAGAAAAAGGTATTGAGATGTCAGGATGAGGGAGAGGGCTTTGTGAAAGGGCCATGCCTGAGGGCCCAGGGGGCAGAATAATCATACCCTTCCATTTTCCAGTCCCCAAACACTAGCACCTACATGAGAAAAGGAGCTGGAGCTGGGTACCTCCTCTCTCTTCTTCCTGCTAGACCTGTCTCACTATTATTATAAGCCACACTGTTGACATTGGGCAAGAGAACTGGGAAGAAGGAAGATGAGTGAGAATTATGGGTGGGGCATCCAGGGGCAGGTGGGGTCATCCTAAGAATCTACAGGAGCAAGGGAAAGAAGTAGGGGTCAGAAGAGGAGAAGCCCTCATTGCCCTCTGAGCAAAGAAACTTTCTTGCTACAGCGTTTGCCTAGGGCTATGCCCTGGCCATACTGTCCTCAATACTGTGCAGTCATCCCAAGTTTGTCATCTGATTTCATTATGCTAATAGGGTGAAGAACCTGGATTGTTAACATTCGTTAAGCCTGGGCGGTAATGCCTCCTCTCTATATCCTTACTTCTGAAGTATTATAGTAATAATAGACAAGGCGAATGGGTTTGATAGAGTGAGTCTGTTCATATAAAAACATGGTCAGTTCATCAGTCTTCCAGTTAGCTAAATAAACTGAGCATAACTCAGATGGCTCTTAAAGATTTATATTACCATAGAGATTTGTGTTACTATAGGATTAGGAAAAGTATTGTATTTCATTTATTTATTAAGTCTCTTAGAAATTATTTTTAATTGTAAATGTGAATATGCACACTTTCCCACTTCTTGTTTATTCATGGTTTTCTTGACAAACAATAGCTACTTTTCTTACAAATTCTCCAGTTCCATACAGTTTAACCTATAATAATTTCAGTGAATTTATTGCATCGACACCCAACTAATAGAGAAACTTTAGAGGAGTTTGCATTCATCAGTTTATTCATTGCTTTTTAAACTTTTTACCTTTCACAAAGATAGAAATTCAGTGTAATTGGTTTTTGTTTATTTATTTGTTTAGTTTTTCTGGCTGCAGACATCTTAATTCCTTGATAGGCCAGTGGTAATGTACAACTAGGGACTTTATTTTTCAGACATTACATTTGAAGCAGTAGGCAGATGTGGGATATGGAAGCAGTGTGAATGTGACATCATTTGTTTTTGCAGACTTTGTAATTTTCTTCTGGAAAATCCAGATTATCCAAAGAGAGAAGATAGAATCATTACAAACCCCAGTAGCAGCCTGCTGGCCGGCCAGGACGAGACCGAGGCAAGTGTTGTGCTCCTGTTCTGCAGCCTCCACCTGGAAATTCTCTGCTTTATGGGTCATTTTTATGGGGAAAAAAAAGTGCTTTTTTTGGAACACTTTGTTGAGGGGAGTGCAAAGATATCTATTTGCAAATCAGGACACAATTTTAAAGACTAGCAGGGGAAAATAGGATTTCAGAATATATCTCTACTTTAGTGGGATCTCCCAGACTGAGCTACTTTGGATTCTGTATTTAACTCCTGTCATCATAAACCTTATCTTCCCTTTCCCACAAAGAATTAAACAAATCCGGCCGGGCGCGGTGGCTCACGCCTGTAATCCTAGCTCTCTGGGAGGCCGAGGCGGGCAGATTGTTTGAGCTCAGGAGTTCGAAACCAGCCTG